ATTAATAATTCTACAAAAATTTAAGAATATTAAGATAAATCATTACTAACAACAATATTGTATTTTGACAATATGATGTGTTACATAATCAAGAGATAATTGTATATGTTTTCATATGAAAGAGCTTATAAGTTACCATAATCCATATTCCAAATCTCGAAAATTTTGTAAATTTTTTTAATTTCATTTCTAGAAATATATAATAATAATCGAAATATATCAAAGATTAATTATTTAGCCAAAACATAATTTTAAATATTTTTATTAAATTGCAAAATGCCATAGAAACCACATTTTATTGTTTTACTAAAAACAACCAATGACATTTTCCCTCGGATAGCTGACGTGGCAAAATCTCAGCCTTCAGTCTTGCATCTAAAACACAACTTTAAGCTTTCATAAACACGAGCCAATGAAGATATATCAGTCGGATACATGACGTGGCAATATCTGAGCCTTTACTCAGCTTTCTGGGATTTGAGCCTTAATTTATTTATTTATGTGGGAGTAAAGATCTGAGCTTTTCTTTCGCTAAAGACTCTTCGAGTCCGAAGAAAACCGAGACACCAATTAGGTCTTCTTCACCATTTTCTACCTTTCTGATTGTTATCACCTTGAGTTGAAGAACAATCGTTTAGGTTTGACGCATGTGTTCATTTTGGATGTTTAGGTTTAGGTTTGACGCATGTGTTCACCGAATCAACTCCTCTTCAGTCTTACACACACATTGACGAACTGGTAGATCTCGACCAAAATCTTCTCGAGCAGGTGTTATTCTTACCCTTTTCCTCTCACTACATGTCTCGCTTTGATGATTCTTAAACAGATCTACTTTGTTGTTCCAGGTAGAACAAGATCTGCAGAGAGAGAGATATGATTCTTTCTCTGCGAATACATAATCTTGTGGAGCAGTTGTTATACTTACGCTTTTCATCTCTCTCGTGTACTTCCGATTATTAGGGGTACTAGATCTGTAGAGAGTGATCATTTTCATCCTTCATTCTAAATTTTAGTGTTTTGATGTTAGCTTTGTTTTTTGGCTCTTGGGTTTGTGTTTTGGTTGACTCTCTTTTGGTAAGCTTCGTAGTTGTGTAGTCTGAGTGGATTACAGATAATATGATTTGTGTCTCAAATGTTTAATTATCTGGAAATTGCATAAACTAGGAGATCGTAGGTGGAGCAAATTTAAACATCAACTGCAAACATGTGGATACCATTGTGGACACAGCGAATATGGTATTTCATCCCCATGTCGTTAACTTCATTGTTCTTTCTTCCCATTTATTATGCATTGCTTAATGAAAGACATTCTAAGTGTATGTCTTTCTCTTACTGACCACTTTAGGATGATGTGGTAACCATTACGGTCCTTCAATATACAGGCGCATCTTCAATAATCAGGTAAATTACTTGTTTTTCTTTTCTTCTATATCTTTCTTAAAACCATTCGACCAATCCTACATACTTGTTCGTCATACATATCCTAATTATTGACTCTATAATCTGTTGTTTATTGCAGAACAAATTTCAGTAGAACCGACAATGAAGAAGTTTCGTACCCTGGAGATGCAACACTGCATGGAAGCACATACTTTAAAAGTCATGGATGTTGATCAACTTAGTTTAAGCTTCTATAAAAATTACATATTGTAAAACCATATTTAAATCAATATACATGATATTTACTTCTTTTTTTTTGTTTTTTGGTGTATTAGCAAACAACAAAATTTAAATATCAATACTGCGACAAAAAAAATATCAATACTTTTTAAAATTCTACACGCAACATGTTACAAATACTAACCATTAAAACGCTATATTTATGGTAATGCAAATGCTATTTCAAAAGAACTCAATACATAAATTATTACATATGTCGATTGCTATTGTA